ACCCCGCTGCGATGGGGGATTGTCACGGAGTACCAGAACCTCCTGGGCGATCGTTCTCGAGTGCCTCCTGGCGGATTGAAATCGCTGCAATCGCTGTTTCCTTGGCAGAATTTCTGCAAACGCGTCACCCAGAAACTCCGTGAAGAAAGCACCAGCATCGCTCCGTCCAGTTTGCTGATCTCTCTCGCAGTCGTTCACGATGTGGCGGCCAACGAATCAAGATCACAGAAGTGATCGTCGAGAAGTTGATCAAAATAAATAACCGGCCTTGAGGTCGACTTTCAGGCGACAACCTGGCTGGAGAAAACTGAAGCGCAGAAAGGGTGAATTATCCGGCGAATACGGTGCGGAGTGCTCGGAGCCGCGATCGCGATGCGTCACAAGATCGCCAGTCTCCGGGGCCATTGGATTCGTGAAACAGGCAGGGCCGAGCACGCATGGTCTGACTGCTTGACATGTCGACACAGATCAGACTGATGATCAGTAGACCTACGCGCGCGGTACACGGTGGTCAGAAGTGATTTTTTATGCCTGGTGGTTTACTTGTTCGCCTCATTTGAAGGTGTCGTGGGAGCTTCAGGCGAAAACACCTACAGCCACCATTCTGGTAGTCGTACTGCACAAGGAGGAGGCGAAGTCGATCGTCTAAATCGTGCCTATGGAGTGAAAAAATCAAAGAAGCGCAGTGTAGCTTAGAGGAGATGAAAAAATGTCGACGTTTTGCAGGTTGACGCGCTTGCAGATGCGCCCTGAGACACCAGCAGCGATGAAAACTAGAAGGTCAGGCCAAGAAACGACACAGTAGTTATCTATCTACCGTCTCTTGGTTGATTTTTTAGTACAGGTGCTCCTTTGTACATATGCTTGAGTTTTGAAGTGAAGCGCACATTTTAATAAGTCGGACCAAGTAAAAAGGCAGATTTGTAATTACCGAAGAACAAGAATGTATTGTAGAGTTCCAGCGCAATTGGCAGAGGACGTTGGCACCCACCAGACGGGTGGTTGCTGCCCTTGTCAGTGAGGTAGAACGAAAACGGAAGGAGAGGTATCACCTTGTAGATCGTGAAACACACAAGGTAAGCATATTCCAGCACTGTCCAATTATGCCATACTGAGTAATATATAGGGTGAAACAATTTTTTTCAAAAATATTCATACTCGGAAAAAATCAGAATACCTGTTTATACATGGTACATACATTTACCACAGAAATCTGCAGTTTCAGAGCAGCAGTCGGCAGATATTGATGTGCAGACTCAGCACCTATTGCAGACAAGGCTGATATAGTTATCAGATCTCTGGAGAGCAGAGGCGTCAGCATATAGAAGAGTGATACTAGTGCCCTAAATGTTGTTCAACACCGACACGCTTGGACTCCAGAGGCTTGCCACATGTTGATGTTTTGGTGCGAGTTTGGCATGTTTCGGATGCTGCTCCACTGGACGTCAGTGCAGGCTCTTTGAACCACAGGCATGGCTGTTCGATTCAAATCTCAAGTAGTATGGGCGAAGTGGGTTCTGGTGCGAAGTTGAACCCACTTGACCTTATGAATGGGTACTTGAACTCAGGGGTGTTAATTAAAGTGGCCATTTGAAACCTGAAGTGTTTTAAGTGGGCCAGGTGACATGTAACTGGGTTAATGTCTAAGTGGTTTTGAAGTGCCGTTCCGCGACATAAGTGCTTTTACAGTGGTGGGTGTGGCATAAATAAGATTGTCTGGGATGTGGTTTGAAAGTAAATTATGATGTTCTTGAATATTCTAGGTATTGCCAGACGAATTAAAAGACTTAGTAGCCCTTCTAACAGTATGATCCCGCAGGGGTATTTTAGGATGTGTGTCTCATGGGTGAATTCATACATTATCACGCGACGTTTACCGGACCCTGTGATCAGTTAGCATCATGGATAATGAAGAACAATTTGAAATACTGTGTGCGTACAAGGAGAGTCAACGCACCGGCGTTGAGCATGACGATGCTCCTTGTCCTGATGCCCCTCCTCCTACTCCAAACATGGACAAATGTTGGCATAATCATCAAGTTGTGAATGAGGGACACTTTGTGTGTACTGTATATGGGCTTGTTCTTGATAGCGTGTTTTTGCCCGAGGTGAATTTTTACGGACTCTCCAATTTGAAATGCTAAGCGGACTTTCCCTTTCACTGGCCCGAGCATGATCCACGAATGCACATTATTGTTGCCCTAAGCAAGACAAGAAGCGGCAGGGGCCGTGGGTTGTTAGCTGGGCAAGATTAGCAAAATAATAAACCACGGTCCTTGTTGTATATGCGCGTCCCGTAATTGCTCTTCTTGCGGCACTCGAATGCCTGGAGTTCATCAGATATGGGCTTGTTTTGTATGAAGCCGCATTGGGGTGGAATACCCAGACGCCAACGATCGCATTTTGAGCCCTAGTCCAGATTCCGCACGTGCGGATATCAGCGTGGGTAGCACCTTTTAGTGATGTTAAACTGATAATAGAGAGGTTCAGCACTACGTAAAGTTGAGCAACTTCACGTAAGCGGCCGGAAAAAACCGTGAATTTGCGAGTTTGCCCTCCACTTACGGAAAGTTGCCTACGGAGAGTACGTAAATAGGGCTCTGATAACGTAGCTGGTCCGTAAGTGGATTGCGGTACAAATTTATGACGAAGTTGCCAAGGGCAGCTACGTGATTTGAAAACTCTGTATGGCGGAACCCAGAGGCGCATGTGGTTTACGTAAGACTTTCCGTAGATCGTAATAACGTTATGCGGAACCTCTCTATTGATGAAAAATAAAGGTTTGTCTCTAGTCTGTACGTAATAATAATAATTATTATACAGGGCTCCGAATTCAGTTCCGGCGAGCACTCTCTCGTTACTTGCTCTGAGTGCAAAGGTGATTGTGTGTACACAATTGAATTTGTTTTGTCTTCTCTCACATAGATCTGACTAAGGCCACTTGCCAGCAAAAGTGTAACATCATTTCCTCCCTGGACAATTGCTCTCTGTGTGCCGGCTATCTGTTCAACTACACTTGCCTAGGTGAGTAGTGGAATAGGACTTGTAGCTACTCCACAAAGACAGTGAGGAGGCTCAGTTCCAGGTAAGAGATGCAGAAAAGTGGGAGATACACGTCAAGTTCATGCAATGGACCCACGTTTGCAATGTTGTGTGTAGTCACACGGATTCAAAACTTGTGCAACCAGAAACGCACACACCTTTTTTCCAGACCTCAACATTTGTGTCATCAATGTGTATGGCTCATGTTGTGAGCTGCATTTGGAGTGAAAAACGTGTCACTGGCTTTCTAGGTTCAGCTTGGTTCCATGCTTTAGATGGTTAGAGCTTTCGCCAAGTTTGGTATTTTGATACCTCACGCACAAGCACTGCCTTTGAACTTACTGTATTGCAGGCAAATACGTTCATGCTCTTGGTGTGACTGGAAAATTCTTCTCTACAATAAGATGCATCTTGTGTTTCAACGTGACTTGTGGTTTAGATCGAGATGAGTGTCTACATCAGACGCACAATTGCAGCTCCAATGCTGCCTGTACAAACACTGTTGGGTCCTACAACTGCACATGTGACTCTGGGTTTTCAGGTGATGGCAAATTCTGCAAAGGTATGTTACAATTGGCTTCTATTCGAGGTACCACGTACCCAATCTATACGAGATGTACATGTGTTTCTGGCGTAAAGCCGGGTTTTTACCGCCGCTTCATCCCTGGTTTTGCTCAGCGCTCCGCTCCACTGAATGTATTACCAGGCAAGGGTGCCAGCTTCACATGGACTAAGAGTAGTAATGCGGCGTTGACGCCTATGAAGCGGTCAACTACAACAGCCCCAGTGTTTAGCGAATCCTGACTTTTCTGTCTCGTCTGACAGCCTTGTTCTAGATTCTAATGCAAACTAAGTGGCCAATGGAGCTGTCCTTTGTCAAATTCAAGGTGGCGAGGAACACCCCCATTGCCTTTAACAGCCGGATATTGATGAAGGTAGAGAGAAACTACAATGTGTCAAACGGGGAAACGCTTTCCCTTGTGCATTTTGCTGATCAATTCCAGCACTATTTGCTATGTCGGAATTTCGTTGACCGTACCGATTACACTCCAATCATGGCGTTAATGTCCGCTAAGGAAACACGCGGCCGCAAAGCTCGGTAGGTGGAGCAAGCCTTGGACTATAGCTTCATTGCTGTTCACCGGCCGGGTCGGCAGTACCTGAATCCAAATGGTCTCTCGTGTTCCTTGTTGTCGGAGCCGCATCGATCCCGTCTCGAGACTTCTGCAGAGCAGCCGGAGGAAGCTAGTTTCCCTGCCGCAACGGCATCTGTGGTTGTCGCGACTCCTGTATTAGCTGGCCTTTCCGCAACTGAGTTGGCTGCTGCCAAACCTGCGGATGTCGACCTCTCAGAGCCCATCTTGCTTGCAGTGCTAGACTGCCTGCTCGGTTTACTGGTTTTGCTATGTCCTGAGTTTTTTTGTGCTGTTTTTTTCTCTATTCTTGAGGGCGTGAATATTTGATAGGAGTAGGATAGTGTAGCATGACTGCCTATCACATGTAATGCATGGATAGCTATACGCATACTCGCACTATCTTGGTCTTCTTTTTCTCCATGTGAGACGGTGAACACTGATGATAACTTACGTAATTACAAATATGTACTTTAAGAGTCTTGTGTGCGGAGAGTATCCGGGTTACAAATGCTCCCGTTTTGTAATTTAGACATCATTAACAGACACGGCCCTTTAACTTACTGTATTGCAGGCAAATACGTTCATGCTCTTGGTGTGACTTGAAAATTCTTCCCTACCATGATGTGCATGTTGTGTTTCAACGTGGCTTGTGGTTTAGATCGAGATGAGTGTCTATATCAGACCCACAATTGCAGCTCCAATGCTACCTGTGCAAACACTGTTGGGTCCTACAACTGCACATGTGACTCTGGGTTTTCAGGAGACGGCACATCCTGCAAAGGTATGTTGCAACTTTTTTTTTATTCGAGTTACCCAAGGTGAAGAAAGGTGCCATAATGTGACTGTGCAAACACTGTTGGGTCCTACAACTGCACATGTGACTCTGGGTTTTCAGGAGACGGCACATCCTGCAAAGGTATGTTGCAACTTTTTTTTTATTCGAGTTACCCAAGGTGAAGAAAGGTGCCATAATGTGAGGAATCCAACGGACCTTATTCACAATGTTTGCTGTGTATTCATAGCTGCTCCTCAACACATATAGTATTCTCTATACCCTCCCATAAAATGTTGCTGTTTCTGCATGCACCACCGCATTTGTTAGCACTGTACACCCTTCCTGCTCTCCACGCTGGTCTGGAACTTTGGACAATATGATTCGCAAGCTAGCCCACAACCACTCGGCCAAAGCACTGGCACTCAGGAGCAAGAATAAGAGAACAAGTTGGTGGCAGGGTTTTGTTTAAAACAGAAGAAAACACATTGGAACGAGTTATGAAGTAACTGTCCACGACTCTAATAAGATAATAAGCAGCCAGAATGGGCGTTAACGGGGATCTCTTTCAAGTATTTTATAGGCTCAGTTACAGATGCATTCTATATCAATCCTTTGTCCTCAAGTCTTGATGAGAGATTGGTGACTGCACTTGCGGGCACAGCGCAAACAACGACGAAGAAGGTATGCTCCCCTGTGATTGAAACTAGGTCAGCTGTGTTCTTGTCGGTCGGTCTGCCACGCTGGTGACGTAGGCGCCTTGCTGCTTCTGACAACATCCAAAGGGTTACATGTTGTTTGATGTGGGCGCTCAGGGGCTCACCGATTCTACCAACATATCGGCCATCGCAGTGCCGACATTCAACTCAATAAATCATACACCTTTAGTGTTTATAAAAATAAAAAGACCAAAAAACTACACATTACGCTATAATGTCCACTATCACCACCTAAACAATCAGCTCATGCGACAACATTGCATTCAATTATTTATTTATTTTGATAAATTAATCCTTGGCTCTCAATCTCTCCATCCATGTCCATTCCTGCACGCCTTTAGTGTTCATTCCCAATAATTTGAACTGTTTCACCTAATTGTGTCACGTGTTATGTGTTACTTAGGCATCTCCCTCTCGAGTTCAACATTGCGATGTAATTCCAACTAATAAAGTGATTACACGGTTTGATGGACAGATAAAACCGGGAAAGACTAAACAAATTGACAGTCACAGCCAGGGCTCAGTACAGGGACCTTCGCTTGAGGCCAGCTATGCTGAATCCACTTTACCTAATAATAACTCCTCAGGCCTTTTCTTTGGTATAATATTATATTTAAAATAGAGGAAATCACACCGAACCAAGTTATGAAGCAACTATCCACGACTGTAACAAGATAATAAGCAGTCAGAAAGTCCGATAACAGGGCACACAACCGACATGTTACTGAGACATTGCACGTCCGGAGACCTAACTCTCACAAACCTCCAGTGTGCAAACCAACAGACTTCCAGCTTGAAAGGTTCAAGGTTACGGTAGGACCAATGAGGGGAAGGTACGTGCAGCTAAAAAGTGCACAAGCTAAGTGCCGCGGCAACAAAGAATGCCGACTTTTACAGGACCATGACCGTACTAACATGACAACTCCGTCCAACTGCAATTCTAAGCGGAAAACAACACACCGCCTAACTTGGATGGGTCAGCAATATCAGAGATAAAGAAAGTGGGAAGCTTTGCAAAAACGAATTGTACAAAACCGGACGCCAGTACCTAACAGTACTTCTCATGCGTAACAGTATTGTGAACGAGTTGACTATGGTAACAAATAGTTTAACACAACGTACGTTTTGCAGTATTGTTTGTATGATCCCTCCTATGATTCACGTCATTGTGTTTAAACCTGGCTTGTGGTTTAGATGCAGATGAGTGCCTATATCAGACTCACAATTGCAGCTCCAATGCTAACTGTACCAATACGGTTGGGTCCTACAACTGCACATGTAAATCTGGGTTTTCAGGTGACGGCACGTCCTGCAAAGGTATGTCACAATTGTTTTTGACTCATGGTATCCAAGTGAGTAAGGTTACGATAATAAGAAGAGTCCAATGGAACTTAGGGGCCAAGGGTCCAAGGTTACCAATAGTATTTTGAAAACGAAAAGTTTTCGTTTGGGGGTGGCTGGGTTTCAAGGAGTTTTAATTGTTGAATGCAGATGGAAAATGCCCAGTTATTTCTGGGTGTCGAAAATTGACATCAATATTTTATTGGAATTCGTTTAGCCTGCAGAAAAGGTGGGTGGGTGGGTGGGTGCTGAAAAATACTAACACTTTTCGTTTTACAAAAACTATTGGTAACCCTAGACGGCCCCTTAATCGTTTAAACATCAACGTAGAGAGCTGAGAGTTGTTTGAGCCGACAGCTGGGGATTCTCTGCTACCTGCTAGGTGTCTCGATTATGAAATTCGGTTGAGATTTGGCGGAGTCATGATCAATAGACCACGTCCTTGGGTGCGGACCTATCCACGCCAGTCGTTATCGACGGACGCACACTAAAAGATGAAATGGAACTTCCCAAACAGTTCTACTAGAATTTGTTTCACTTTAACGGAAATCCGAGGAATATGTGGTGTTACCACGTATTGCAGTTTCTTTAGGGGTTATCTCTGGCACACGTTTCATCATTAAATTTTATTTTTCCTGTTCTGAATGCGTACGTCTGTTCAAGCTCAGAGCTCTTTTCTAGACTATGTCTTTTCTTTGCCCGGCTATTGCTCATCACGCCTTATAAAGCTTTGGTATTAATTAAGGATATTCTGGTATCTCTCTCGGCAGGCGAACATTTTTGGGAATGCTATAAAATTGGAACATGGAAAATTGTGGGCATAATTGAGCGATCGAGAACCAGATTTTGAACAGTCAGATGTGCAACTGTCAGACATTTATGTTAATTCCAAAGACGGGAAGGCAAACACCATCGAGCCGACCATAAGTATTATATTATAGTATCTAGTTACAGTGGTGAAGAGTATCTCTTAACTCGTTTCCATTTGTCCCTTTCCTTTCTACAATTATTTTTTTAGTTCGCCTGAAGTACTTTAGCTGCCCTAAAGACTCAGCAGAGCTGATTAGTAGTCGTCGTAATGTCAGAGATTCCCACTAGGGATGAGCAGAACACTCGATACATGTATTTCCACTCGGTTCTCACCAAAAGGGGAGTTGAACATAACTAAATTCCCTAGTTCATTGTTTAAAACGTTTTTTGTGGATCGATGTGCAGGTGGGGCAGTCCAGTGAACATACGGCAACTAAAAGGGTACAGTCGTCCCTCTCTAATCCGGCACTTGTTTATCCGGAACCCTTGCCAGCCGGCGCACTTTCTGACGAAACCAATTCTTCACGTTCAATTCCTACATCTTAATCCGAAACTTGAATTCCGCCTCCGGCAGTGACTTTTTGAAACGAATCACTCAAACTGCACGTAGTTTGATTTCATAATCTGGCAGTACGATCGTACAAGTGCACTCCTTGCCAGGCCAGGCTAGGCCAGTCTGTATAAAGCATCTAGTTACAGTGGTGGAGAGTTACACTTAACTCATTTTCATACGTCATTTTCCTTTCTAAATTTCATATTGGCTCAATACCAGAGTTAAAAAAAAATAATTAAATTTGGAATTTGGGCCACAACCAGCTAAAACATGTCTTAGGGTGAACATTTTCAAATTTTGTTTTCCTCCAGAAAACAGTTCTTGGGACCTTACTTGACCTCTTGAAGGTGATACAGGGCAGAAAATAAGTCTACAAGTGCCCCAAACACCGCTTTCAAAATATGTACTTTGAAATAGAAAATGACAGTTTTCGCACAGTAGGACACAAAGAGACAAACTAATTCTTAGTGGCTTTTGTGGCGGGGAAGCAGGCAGGCATAGTGGGATGGTCTAAGACCATGATTGAGAAACAGAGGGTACCAGGTTCAAGTCCTGCTTGGAAGCGGAAGGATTTTTTCCAGCCGTGCTGCGACCCACAGTTAATTGGGAACTCGTGGCCTGGCACGAGGGAAACATGGATGCAGTGAATGGGATTTCGGTCTTTGACCACTTTGTGGTGGGTCTGATCTACTCACCTCCCACCGTTTAGGAGCTGCATCTGCGCCTTGATCCAAGAGGGTGGTGGCGTTCCTGCGGATGCGGAAAACTGGGCCTTTGGCCGAGTCTCACGCGAACCGTTTTTTTTTTTTTGTGGCGGAGCACAATACAACGGAACTAAAGATGTTGACACCGACTTGAGCATGTCAACGACATCAGTTCCAAGGCATGGCCCAAGTTCTTCCTGGAAAGCAACACGATGCGCTTGGCGGCGTTGCACTTGGATACTCTTTCGATTCTGGCAGTGACACTTTCGATCGTCGCCTGCGTTTCCGAGACTGCGTCAGACGCCTCATGAGAGCTGAACGCAAGTAACGTCGTAAGGCAGCCGGTTCGCCGCCTCAATGATTATGTACTACTACTAGCCCACAACTTGTGCCTCTTCACTACTAGAGAGGACGGGGACGATTCAGCTTTTGCTGTCGACATCAACATTAATGAGATCCCAACAAATTGTCAGCGTCGCTCTCCAGACCCGCCGCCACGGACTTGCAGACACCTGAACAAACCTGGGCCATGCACAGCGATCGTCTAGTATCACTAGATGCGGACATTGTCAGTCTTTGCTCGCCAGCTACTTGAAGTCGAACGCCAAACAAGTGTTTGAACAAAATTTGAGAAGATGATCGCCACATCATGAATCATTATTTTGAATGAAGTGCAGAGTGAACGCGCTCCAAAAGAACATTTTTTTCATTTCGTCATTTCCCAACTTTTTTTTACGAAACCCCAAAGACATGTTTTAGCTGATGGCGGCCCATTTATTTCCTGGGTCTTTTCTTTACGATTTGGCAAAGGTCTAAACCTGGCCAAATCTCCATCTCAAACTTGGTTGACCAGGTGGGCGTATACATTTACAGAATAAATTGCCGAGCCCAGGCCAATCTTTACATTCACAGACAGACGCCGC